CTAAAGCCAGAGGTCCTAAAGGTTTAGGATCAATTGGAGGTAGATTAATTGAAATTACTGAAAAGAGACAAAATAAAGAATATGGCATGTCTGCCCACAGCGTCTTAGGAGGAACTGAAGTGGGAATGAAAAAAAAATTTGGGTTTTAGTTTCTACTGGGAACAGCCTCCTTAATCATGGTCAGAAAAGACATAGCTGAAGAGTTGCTAGGGGCAGGAGGAAATAATACAGCGGGAATAAAGCACTGTGGAAAAATACTGACTCTTTAATTGCTAAATTTGGCACAGATATATCTAGGAAGTTAATCCCATTGAGTGTTTGCTGTACTGGGATATTGGTTAGTGACCAGAGGTGTGTGTGTGTGTGCAGAATATGATATTTTCTGCAGCTTTCTTCAGCCAACTGTACCATTAGAAATGGATAATTTATAATAATCTAAGACTGATGTTTTGTTCAGTGTAAGGTGACACTTTCCTTGCAGGATATCCAAACTAGTAATACTGCCAACCGACAGTCATCTTATTAGTCTGCCTCCTTGGCTTTTACAATATGTTTCATAATTCTGGGAAATATTTCTGGTGTTGAGGTAATATCAAGCTATGTCTTACAAACAGTATATCCAGTAACTCATACCAGTTTCAACAACCAGAACCTGTGAAAAGCATCTGTTTTGAGTAAGTAATAAGTATACGACCCGTCTTTCTTTTTCCTCATTGATTGTCGGGTAAATTAATGCTACCTTTCTGTGCCAGCTCCCTACTGTCTATGAAGGAGACCCAAAATGCACCATTCCTCTGATTAGAGCCAGCCTTTCATTCTCAATGATTCTTAACTTAGTTGGTCTCTCCCTTTGGAATGTCACCAAACATCCAGGGGTTAAAACAAGCAAATGTTTTATGGCTTTGAAAGCCTTGATTTAGTACAGTTACACCCCCAAAAAAATCCCCGTAGCACGTAAGGGTTAACCAGAAACGGAAGAAGCTGTATCAAGTCTACTTGAAAAGAGAGACCTGTTGAAAAGCAATAAATGATCCCTTGAAAGTTAGGGAGCAGGAAAATAAGTGGTACACAGTGCTATGCTACACTGATCAATACCAGATCCTAGATACTTCTGTCTACAGTGCTGAGTGGATGATAAATTTTAAAGCGTGCACGTGAGTGCTTATTGAGGTCGCAGGTGGTTTGTGAGGGGGAAAAGTAAAAATTCATTAATATTGGAAACTGCATGTTTGACTTGTTTAGTTCTGAACTAGACAGTAACTCTAACAGCACAGGACATGATCCTTGGTCTTTGAGGTTCACAGATGCCCCTCAGTGTGATAGCATGATATATTAATTTTGGAGGCTTTTTCCCATTGGACATTACAGTTGGCTCTACTATGCAGAGATTGTGCAGTGGGTAACAGACCAAGTCAGGCCTCAGCATGAACTTTTGTGTCTCTCAAGCCGACACCAGACCGGAAAAACCGTGCTTCGTGATGCTGGACATGTAGGACTTTTTATATTCTGGCTCTTTGGTGTCTCCTTGGACACTGAAAGAGGAACAGTGCTCACTTGGGCATGCCTGCCCATAACAGGGTTGCGGATTTCAGCCTAGGCAGAAGTGACTGACCCACAGCTGGAGGAACTGGAAGAGGGGGCAACTCCACGCTCAGGAGGGGTAGGAGGGCTTCACCCATGGGAAGCACCTGCTGCTTGCACAGGGATGCCCAAGCTCTCTCCCCAGCAAGAAGGGTGCAAGGGCCATGTTTACTTCCCAACTGTGACCCGGGAGGGGGGAAGGGGGGTTCACACATGCACGAAGGCTCAGCACCAGCAGTCAGCTAGCCCCACCAGCCCCTTCATATTTGGGGATTTGGTCTTTAATCCCTGCAGGATGGGGACAGCTTCAAAGCCCAGCATCCCACCTGCTGGCCTGCCACCGGGCCACCAGACCCTCTGCAAGAGGTGGAGTGTTGCTGTTTTCTCAAGAGAGCTGATTGCCACTGTGTTTTGCAAGGACCCCAGTCCCTACCAGAAGGCATTAGTGGTGACCGCATGATGCCCAAGAGCTCCACTGCTGGCTCTGACTTAGCCAGCATGGACACATAGAAGGGAGAAGTCCTGATCGTCTTTGGAGCTTTATGGCCAAAATTAAGGTGACCAACAGAGCTAGGAGGCTGTGGGGTTTGGTGATGGGCTTTGGGGGACTGAAGTCCTAAAGGACTAGGAGCCACTTCATGCAATTATTTACATTCCCAGATTGAATTATGGCAATAAGTAATATTGTTACTGTAGGACAGAGGCTCTGGTAAAGAACTGAGACCTTTAACAGTCAGGGTTTATACACATAAGGAGCAAGAAGTCACAGTCTAGATGTAACTCCTGGGACCAGGAATAAAGCTTTAAAAAAAGGTCTTTGGGGCTTTGAATCCCCCAAGGAGAGACAGCAGTTGAGGGAGAGATTGAAAAAAAATAGGATTTATGAACTTGAAAATGTCACACATTTTTCTGCTGAAGCTGCACCGTGTTGCTGTTGTTAATGCGTTATTGTAACACCTGCTGGCCCTCATTAGGATTCCTCTGGGATGGTATAATCACAGAGCATAATGTGGCTACAAAGAAATTACAGCTCATGATCTGCAACATATAAAACGGGAATAATGACAGACTCAACCAGATATATGCTGCTTTCTCCATATGTATGGCCTGTACGGGTGCATTTGTGTCTTCATTTACGATTTTGTTTTAGCTCCGTAAACATCAGTCCTCCCTCCTAAGTTTGAGCCCAGCCGTTATAAATTGGCTGCTCTTACGGTGTCATTGAAGTAGATCTCAAATAGGGATTTGAAATAGGAGAAAATAACAGCTTAGGCTACTGTAAGCTGGGCCGGCTAAGGGACAAATTTACATTTAGATTGAGCCTCTTCACATCTTCTCTAAGTAACTGTAAACTCTCTCATGCCTCAGCCCTAGAAAAGAATTTAGGCAGCCCTGCACTGCCAAAAACTGTGCCTTATGCTTTGTAAGATGTGCGATAGCTAATCTAAGTAGTCGGGCTTAGCATCAACTTTTCATAATTATTTGTGCAAATATAACTCAGTTATCAAATGTCTGCATTAATCAGGCAAAGGATATCAGCATTGCCAAAATAAATTTGTTGTAAAAGTGTTATGTCTGATTATTTGTCTTATTCAACCAACACCCAGATGCCCTATTATGTTAAGAGCTACGCAAGCATGTAAGAAACCGTTCCACCGCCAGGGAGTGTATGACTAATTTACGATAAGAGAAAACAATTGGACATTACAAGCAAGTAAAAAGAAAGGGAGAGGAGAATTAGAGTAAGCGTGATAGTCTGTGACTGCATGTTCCTGTGAGAACCATTAGCGAGTTTTAAGTAAAGGGAAAAATGGTTTGATATAAATAAATGAGAAATATGATATCAGTAATCCTTACTGGGCATTTGCCTAGCCCAGTGAAGATTTCTGCGGTATGTACTTAGCTTTCATATTAGGGCCTTATTCTCACTGACGCTGTGCCAATTTACACCACTCCAAACGGTGTCGCGCAGACAGCAGAGGACAGAGGAATGCAGCCAAAATGCTACAGCTGGCCCCATACCACACAGATCTGCCATCTGCACCAGCCAGGCACGTGGCCCGCTAGGGCTGCGGAGGCTGCGTCTGTTTGTCACTACACGCTTTATACTGCCAGCACAACGTAAAGGGATCTTGGTACGACTGAGCGTGCGTCTCCATCTAACGTGTTTTGCTGCTGCATGTTTTCAGTTCCGCGGCTGTTTTGCTTGAGCATCAATGTAAATAAATCTCTTTATTGAGATGCCTAGTCGAACCGGTGCTGCCTCTGAACGCGAGGGATAACAAACCTTACTGTATGTTTCAATGAGAGGAAGATGCACAGAATACCAGGATACATGTTTACAGAGGTGTCTGCTCTCCAGTCCCCTTGCTGATCTGAGGTCACCCTGCCACGTCGTGGGCCTTTCATTATTCTGAGGCTGGATTCTCTGCTTATCGAGGACACCTCCGCAGAAGTCAGGCTGAGTTTTGGTCCTTCTTGTCTTTGCCCTTAGGAGCTTGTGGTCAGTGATGCTCAGCGATATAACAAGACATCTTAAAAATAAAGCATTTAGGAGCTGAAACAAAGCATTTAGTGGAAAAAAAACCCACATTAAATACCAAAAAATGTATTTATTAATGTATTTGCAAAGTAAAATTTGCAATGTAATCGCAGGAAGCTGGACTCTGTCGGGCACTCAAGTGTCTCAGATGAAGTCTCCCAGACAATCCCCAGCCTTTTGTGAATGCGCTTTTTTTTTCACCTCCCTGATTCTTTTCCCCTCCAGTGCAAAGAAGCCTGGCACTGTCCTTCAACTATTGTTTGTCGGAAAGTGGCTTATCTTGAGCCATACTTTTTCCTTTCATTTTCCATTTGAATGGGACTGTTCTGTTCATGGGGCAAAGTCAAAACAGGGTGCTCGTAAATTACCACAGAGCAGTTCCCCTTTCATCACAGGAACAGAACACGTTGCAAATCTAACAGGCAAAGCTGGAATTCCCGTGCATTCTTGAAAGTTGTAACAAACTACAAGTGAGAGTGGCAACATACCTGAGCAAAACGACCTTTCTGAGACCTGTCATCTAGAGCAACATGCACAATATTTAGTATTTCTGTAACAATTAATATTGCTTGGGATGAAATGCAGCAACTGCCATTCTCTTTCACTTTCTAACATTTCAGAAAAGGAGCAGTGCTTGAACCGACCGGTCGCACATTGCCGAAAGAAACCCGACTAAGAGCACAGCAGCTTCGTGGGAAAGACTGATAACGTGTGGTGGCCTGACACAAATGCTATGTTATTAAAATGTAGCAATAGTTTATATTTCCTAAGTTGTTCTGCTAGACCAACGTCTGCCCGAGTCGCTTCGTATGGTTTCTGCGGGCTGGTTATCTCACCCAGTCGGCAGTCAGTCACCAACGTTGTGCACGGAGGGAGGATGAGGGGGCTTTACACCTGCGAGAGAGTTTGCTGGGTTTTCCTTTCCTCAGAGTGTTTTGCGGAAATTTTGAAGGACTTGGCCCGACGAAGTCTTCCCGGGGGCTCTGCTAGGCGTGCAGACCGGCCGACTTTGCCGCAAAAGGTACCTTCTCCTGCGACCCGAGAGGCACATCTGGGTGCGGGGCACTGCGGGAACCGAGCCCGGCAGCGATGCCGGTCGGGGGGAGAACTGCGAGCGGTAACAGAAGCTGAATTTGTGAAGAGATCAGTCCTGCGACCCGAGAGGCACATCTGGGTGCGGGGCACTGCGGGAACCGAGCCCGGCAGCGATGCCGGTCGGGGGGAGAACTGCGAGCGGTAACAGAAGCTGAATTTGTCGAGAGATCAGAAACCACCACCCCCTCAACGCCGGCCACGCGCCTCCCGAAAAAGCGGCTGAGAAATTAAAACCCCCCCCCCCCCCCCCACGCCCCCGGAGAGGCTTTCTGAGGGCAGGCGGCTGGCGGAGGCGCCCCGGCGGTCACGCCGGCGGGGAGCGCAGCGCGCCGGGGG